CTTACTACTCATCACTGATTGAAGAAAATAAGAACAACCCCAGGTTTCTCTTCAGCACTGTAGCCAGGCTGACAAATAGAGCTCTGTCGAGCCACCGCTCATCATCCTACAGAATAAAAACTCTGATTAGGAGGAGACTGAGTGATAAATGTATAATTAAAGATTTTTCTCTTTCATGAGGATCAATAACGGGTCATGAGCTTCTGAGACCTCTCACCTGTCTCAGAGAAATGCTGCCGGATTGACTCAAATACTTAAAAAATAAATAGATAAAAATATGATATGAGGGACTGCTGTAATACACAGCTGTGCCCACAAGGGTGCAGCATTGGACAGTTATCGATAATCTAAGAAAAAATGAAACTCCACCAAAACACCACCCTTCCATTCACTTCCGCTTCTGGAATTGCAAAATATATTTGAGTAATTCTAAGCATGAAGCTCTGTCACAGGTAAACTAACTAACTAACTAACTTACAAAGATAACAGTCTGGGAGGAAATTGTATTTTTACACTCACAGGTGATTCTCTGTTAGCTGTTAACCTGGGATATCTCAGTATGGAGCGTCCTTAAGAAATCAAAGTGTGAGACCCAAAAACTCTACAGCAGATGATCGGTGCCTGAAAGACACGTCCTTAATAAAAGGAAAAAGACCCGACACAGGAGCTGAGAGATGATCTGGACCTTCAGCTGATCGTCCACTGTTCACCGAAGCCTCATCAGAAGAGGCCTCAATGGAAAGGCTTCTGTCAGGAAGTTAGAAAGGCTGAGAACTAGCCTGATCAAAATCAATGGACCAGCCCTGATGGACTGATGCATCAATGTCATGGTCAGTGTGTATGGAGGAACAACAGTGAAAGTCCACAGCCGCCTGTAAACACCCCTTGGAGGCTCAGTCTGGGCTGCATTTCAGCCACTGTTGTTGAATTCTTGCTAAAACGCATGGATCTATAAGAGTTGGATTCACCGTGCAACACCACCTGTCCGACTTGACGGTCATTAGAATCACATAAATTCTGTTTTTGGCTTCTAAACTGGATTTCCATTCATCGCTTTACCTATTTCTCATTTTCCCAGCACAATGTAAGTTCAAGACTTTTGCACAGTACCGAGACTGAGCCAAAATTGAATTAACAAAACTTTTACTATCTTAAACCCTATGTGAGAAGCACTTGAATGCAGCATCAGACGTGTTTATTATTGTTAGCACTGTAAATTCTTACAGTTCCGTGAGTCCGCGAATCAGCGCTGATCTCTGATTGGCTGCCCCTGGAGCCAAACAGCGCGCAGCGCCACACGCTTTCCTGGAGCAGAAGAAGAAAAAGAAGGAGCTGCGACCTGTCAGCGCAGAGACGAAACCCTCTCAGCGGCTCCTCCGGAGAGTCCACACAGGCTCTGCTCGGCCAGAGGACCACCTGCTGCCCACATTTATCCAGAACACACTTTACACGCTGAAGCGGGAGGAATCTTCTGCGCACGCGTGTGAATTCTCTTTCTCCTGAAGGCTGTTAGCTCAGCGCGTTAGCCTGTTAGCTGCTCCGTGTCCGATCTGCAGGACTTTCCTCGAGAGGAGCGGACAGAGTCCACGGGAGCTGCACCCACACTCACCTGGGATCCGGTTTACAGACGCACCTGCGAGTTTACGGTCCAAGCTCGGCTTCTGCACACAAAGTCTGAGCGGAAGCTCAACAAAAAAAGCTCCCGCAGAACAAGGAAGTCTAAATGAACTTTGCTGCTAGCCGTTAGCTGGCACCCTGCTAGCCTCGTAGCCACCATTCATTAATTGCAGCTGAAGGACACCTGCCCGCTAGACCCGTTGTTTCTTCTGGAAGCTGAGCTCACGGCTCGAGTTTTAGACATGATCCCTGACAAGCCCCCGCGGGAGAACGTGTTCCACGGCTCCGAGGAAATGAAGGAGGCTCACGTCCCGAGTTTCGACAAGTACAGAGAGCTCTACATGAAGTCCGTGGACAACCCGGACGGTGAGTGTCCTCAAAACGGCAGCTCAGGTAGCAAAGACGACACCTGCGACCCCAGGTGACACAGGTGATGGGTCAGGGGTCAAGCAGAAGTGCAGAAAAGTCATCGTACAGTCAGCTAAACTTATAAAGTGTGAATGGGCAGGTGCAGATAGTCCCGGAGTGCACGCGCACGGGGATGGAGTGTAGACCTGTCTTCATGTACAGATGCACAGCTCCCTGCGCGTGCCCTCTGTGCTCTCCTTTGATCTGTGACATTTTCCGCTCTTTGGTTTGGATACAAGCGATCAGGCAGGTGCAGTGACATCATAGCCAGAGACCATGGAGACCGATTTAGTCTTACCAGTTAGCTGAAAACCACAAATCCAAGTTTTAAAAAGATGAAATGAGTTAAATACAAAAAGAAACACAAGATTTTGGGTGTGAAAGCTGCAGTTCCTCTAGTGACCAGCGGAGGCGCCAGCACTGAGTCGGTACCCATAGAGTCCCAGAAATGGACCTCTGTGTTTGTGCTGTTGGAGCCTTTTGGAGCTTTGTAATAATAATAATGGATTGCATTTATATAGCGCTTTTCAAGGCACCCAAAGCGCCTTACAATGCCACTATTCATTCACTCTCACATTCACACACTGGTGGAGGCAGCTACAGTTGTAGCCACAGCTGCCCTGGGGCAGACTGACAGAAGCGAGGCTGCCATACATCGGCCCACACCAGTAGGCGGTAGGTGAAGTGTTGCCCAAGGACACAACGACCAGGACAGAGAGCCCAGGGATCGAACCGGCGACCTTCTGGTTACAGATACGCTTCCCAACCCCCTGAGCCACGATGTAATGACATCATGTGACCAGTAATGTCTGCTGTGAGGTCACTGCACTAACAGAAGGCGGTGCTCCAGGTTGATGCACTAATACGGCCCAAGGATGCAGCTTGGTGACCGCACAGCATTTGGTGATACCTTTGACTCCACCCTCTCATCCACATGTGGTCACCTCTGGAAACACCACGGCGTGTTGGCATCGTGGCTACGCAGGCTGCTGTTAAAGCCGTCAAAGTTTAGTGAGGGTGAAAATGAATGATCCAAGCATTTATCCATTTATTGTAATGGGAAACAACTTTGACACCAATAGGCCGAAGAAGCTGAAAAGGTTCAGTATCTATAAAATTAAACATGTAGCAGAGTGTCACATAAAATCATGCAAAGCTGCTCAGCTGAGTCCAAGAATAAAACCAATGAGCTGGAAATGATTTTAAAAATCCACATGTCACCAGGTCTCTGGATGAAATACTCCAGTTTTCAGGACCTTTTTCTTTTTTCATCAGACTGAATATTTGTGGACTCATGTCATCTTTGTTCTGTTTCATAAGCTAAATGACCGCTTGGGCAAAAGTAACATGAAACTTCTCTTTATGACTTGAAAGTTCTGTTTGTAATAAGTGTAGTTTAGTGTAACCCATAGACATGAACTTTGAGATTATTTTAGTTTGGTGGCAGTAAGGAAGCAGTTTTACCTGCTGAGGTGGTTTCCTGGAGGGAGGTGTGTAAAGCATGATATGAGCCGGTCTGTGCTGCAGGCTTCATGCACGTCACAGGTGACAGTTTTTAGAGGAAAACGTTGCAAAGCGGCGTCTGGCTGTAGCAGCAGCTGTTAAACAGTTTAACCTGAGCTGGTTGATTATTAACAGCGATTAAAGCTGGCTGTGTTTATAGGCTCTGCTGTAAGCGACACCTTTTCCTGTGTGTGTGTTAAAAACAAACTGTAAACACATCAGAGCAGTGCGTCAGGAGGGCAGACATATTAAATATGAACTGTGTTTGTAACGAGCATAAACTCTGTACTTGGAACGTAAACTGTCCTCAGGAAGAACAACGGGATGTAAAATACTGTAACACTGCAGTTATAATGTAACCACGCGATTATGTGATACAACAAAGAGAATAATAAATGGTACCAGGATGTTACTGCAGTAATAATACAGTGTAAGGGTACATTAGTATTTCCACGCTAACGATGATGTCACAGACTGAGTGATGCTTGTGGTGATGGAAGATGCGTTGGGGTGTGTAACTGACGGAAACGCAACCCCATGTTTATTTACTGTTTGTTGTTGTTGTTGTTGTTGTTGTTGTAATAGTCGTACAGTTCATGTGCAAACTGATGCATCTCCCTCTGATCGCTCTCACTTCCTGTCCCGCAGAGTTCTGGGGCGACGTTGCTAAGGACTTCTTCTGGAAGACCAAGCACACGGGTCAGTTCCTCGACTACAACTTTGATGTGACCAAAGGAGAAATCTACATCAAGTGCATGGAGGGAGCGTCCACCAACATCTGCTACAACCTGCTCGACCGCAACGTCCACGAGAAGAAGCTCGCCGATAAAGTCGCCTTCTTCTGGTCAGTGTGTGTGTGTGTCTGTGATTTCAGCAGATCCATGAGAGCATGGTTATGGAGGTGTGTGTGTTTACTCTGATCAAGAAACCCCCCCCCCCCCCATAAATAACTAAAATAAAAGGAGCACTGTCAGCTGTGTTCTTATCACTGGTTCCTGTAAACTGGTGAGTCGGGGTAAACAGCTGGAGAACAAAAACAGTTTCATCTCATGACGGCTGTCGGGCCAGCAGGACTCTCCCTCTGAACTCACACTCGCCGTTTCAGCTGAGTCTGCTCGTCCGCCCCGAGGACAGAGGCACGACGCCAGTCCCTGACCCCGGCAGACACGTGCAGGCGGGGGCTGGTTCATGGGCGGGGGCTGGTTCATGGGCGGGGGCGACATCGTGAATCTCAGGTGTGAATAAAGCCAAACAACAGAGTTTCTCCATCAGTCTTACCTCCACTGGCACAAAGCAAAGCTGCTGTTTGGTTGCTACAGAGAGCTCACAGGCGCTTCGACCAATGAGGAGCGACTTTATCCCAGATGTTTGTGCTACAGACGCCAAAACATTAAACACACCTGGAATGGCTTAATAAGAGCAATGAGTTAAAAATGATGATACAGGAACTCGACGAATAAAATAACACTTACATAGAAATAATGTAATAAAAGCTCATATTTAAAAAAGGAAATACAACAGGCTCAAATATATAAAATATTAAAAATGCTTTTGGCCTCTGAGAAGCTGCACGTCCTCCTGCGTCATCTTGTTCTCATGACCTTTGAACTTTGACTGTCAAGCCAGCCATTCGTTCTTGGGGCGGATGCAACACTAACAGAACTGAGCACGGGCACATGGTACACCGCCGTCCTCTCCTTTGTCTCCGTCTCTCAAACAGATTGTGTGGTTTGGTTTATCAACCATGAATCTGAAACGAGTGATGTCACAGAGGAGCTGTGAGCAGAGCTGTGAGAGCTTCTGAAAGCAGCAGCCTGGAGGGCTTTTATCCACCAATCTCTGGAAAACATCCAGAAGGTTCAGTCCAAAGTTTGCTAAGCGTCATCCAACAGATTAATCTGGTTATTGATTAATGCTCGAAGTAAAAAAATGTTTCCACACGAGTGCAGCTGATCACCTTTAAGACTGGACGTCTCTGCTCCCGTCAGAGCTGAATTACCTGTGGGCCTGCAGCAGAGAGATCCCTGCAGGAAGCATTAAACCTGTCACATAAATCACTGACCGCAGTTTGTTTTAGAGGATTTAAACTGGAAACGCTCAGACATTCATAACAAATCAGAGAGAAGCGAGTCTAACATGTCACGTTTTTAAACCTCCAGGCTCGACTTCAGAGTTTCATTCAATTTAGTTTTATTTATACAACAACAGTCGCCTCAAGGTGATGCAGAGAAAACCCAACAGTCATGTGACCCCTATGAGCACTTTGGCGACAGTGGGAAGGAAAAACTCCCTTTTAACAGGAAGAAACCTCCGGGTCAGACTCAGGGAGGGGCGGGGCCATCTGCTGTGATTGGTTGGGGTGAGAGAGGGTTTGAAGTCCCTGATGTCAGAGGCTCCACCCACCTGTTTGTGAGGGGCAGCCAACTAGAAGGAAGCTTGCTTTAACAAGGCGGAGCTAATATATAAATGTTTTTATCAGGGTCGTTTCAGCGCTGGTTATGGAGTTGAAGCTCCGCAGATTTTAAGGGTTTTTGGCCTTTTCCTGTAATGACCTTTCCTCAGAGTGTGAGACCTCACCTGAGCAGGTCCCTCTGAGTGGGGGGAGGACCCCGAGTGGGTGAGACAGTAAAAAAACCTCCTCACAGCTCCTGGAGTCTCAGTGACGTTTGAGCCAAGTGTTGAAAATAAATCCATCACTGTTGTGTATTTATAGGTGTTTGTGTGTGTGTGTGCGTGTGCGTGTGTGTGTGTGCGTGCGTGTGCGTGCGTGTGCGCTCCTCTAACACAGGCTGGTGTGATGACTGCGCTAAGAAACGCCATGACCTTTTGTTGGAGTGTTTGCTTCCAGAGTGTGTGCGTTAGCTTGTTAAACACTGAAGTTAACATCAGCTGCTGCTGCTCGAGAACGTGCGCGGTCCCGTTCAACGATCGAATTAAACGATGTGGCTCAAATATAAACATGATGTCAGAGCTGTAACTGCTGCTGAGACTCCTGTCAGCGTAAAAATGCACAAACAGACACGTGTGCAGCTGAAAGTGTTAATGTGGTGGTGCTATAAATGGCCCAGCACCTCCACACAATCAGTCACGCCAGAGGGACGTGAGCCCGACGGCGGGCACGCGAACCCGGCAGCTCGGATATCAGCCTGGAAGTGTCTGCAGAGGTCAGGACCTCAGCACAGCTGCATTCTGTGAGCCCC